GAAATGAGAATTTATGTGAAAGTCGTGTGCGCGGCTCCGTCAGCCACGTTTCTGTCTCAGCACAGGAATCTTTTTTGGCTTGATCAATTCAGGAGATACGAGGATCATACGCGTGTGAACACGAATACAACGATTTACTGAGCAAACGCCCCGTTCAGAATGTTGTCTGAGATATCGCGCGTACAAATTTATCAAGGATACAGAACAAATCCTACTCCAATAGGAAGTATCGATTGCCCATAGGTTTGGCAGGTTCTACGTTTTCCAACTGCTTCCAGTAGCGATATTTTACTCGCGACACTTGAAAATCCTACCAAAACTGTTATTGATACTTCCGCTTACCATGCGACCTATTCCACGGCTTTCGTAAACTGGTATATCGCACAATACTCCAAAACCTATTGAAAATGAAGTTGAACGTTTCGAAGATCGTTCCAGTGATCATAAATAACAAATTGAATCGATTCTGACAGTAATTGCTAGACTGCGAATTTTTATGTATTTCCAGTGCATCCGAATGCGAGAAATATAATGCAGCTGTGTTGTTTGCGATTCAATGCTAAAACTTTAGGATCTTCGACACAGGAAATTTCCTGTTCGACTACAATTTTTATAATATTCAACAAATTTTGTTCTCCATAACTGTCCGTAGTCTACTAACGCTTGAACTGCGAAATCGAGTTTCTTCTATTATATTTTCACACGTTTTATTAAACTCTATCGAAAACCTATCGTATCTAGAAGGGTTACCTTAAAAGTTATGTCTAAAAAAATTGATAAATAAAGTGATAAATGATCCTAAGCATACTCGATTATATTTTTACCAAAAATATTGAATTCATTTTGAAACATGTGTCAAATTATCATATACAAATATATCGTTTAAAAAATAAAATTGAACTAACCTCTTAAATGGATCTCATGGAATGAAAATTATTAATTTTTTTAGATAAAGTGGTAAATTATTGCCTAGATATAGGTTTACTTCCTCGACGTAACTCTCATAACTCGATAATGCACTTTTATGCAAAATATATATACTCTGCACTAGTTACACTATATAGGAGCTATCGGAATAATGATTTTGATGAACAACAGCATACTTAAATTCATCACATTCTGAACGTTTTCACTGTTTTGTATTTGATCTGCTTCCATTTCTCATAAATATGTACACAAAATCCGCACTCTACTCGTGAACATATTTTCTCTTTAACGAAAGCTACCTGAGAAAAAAGTAAAGTATCCTGAGAACTACGTAAAATAAACTAGCTTCCAAAATCAACGTAGCAAACTACCATCGACGAAACGAAACGGACAAAATATCGTTGCTCCTTATTCTCCTGCACCGAATTGTTTGCGAAAAGCGAGGCGTTCTACCTGCGCCCTCGAATTGGTCTGCGCTGGCTACGGCAGCGGAGAGGTAATCATGGAAACAGGGTTGGAAAAACCCGAGAAGGATAATGCAATTTAAATAGTTGAACATGGAACCGAGTTAATTATCATTGTTCCGGTAGGAGGAACGTTGTTTACCACTTTCCGCTGATCCCTCGTTGTTCACACAATCGGGAGACCACCGAACGAACAACGCAGAGCGTTGAACGTCTTTCTTCCCGTTCCGACATAAAAGACGGAACACGTTGGACTCCGTCGGACAAGATTTTCCTTTTATTTTCGCCGAGCGCACGACGATACCTGTGTATAATCTGGATCGCCGATAGACAGTGGAGCACCGCCGTCGTCGAAGAAGCTGTCGAGAGGAGGCTGAACAGCGAGAGAAGAGTGTCGGGAGATTTTTATTCAACGAACGAGAGGCAGGAAGGACGGCCTTTGTGCAGGTGACGTTCTCATAACCACAGATTCCCCCGGCTTTATCGGAACTTTCTTTTTCTAACGGCACATTACTCCTATCAAACGGAAGTGGCCATAATTGCGCGGCACAATTAAGGTCAGTCCGCAGTCCTCTGCCGGTCCCCGGGAGCAGCCAGCGGCATCCTCTTTACTTTTCCTTCGCTTCCGGCCGGGTTGGCGCATTCCGTCGGTCTCGGTTAGCGTGTCCAATCAGCACCTGGATTAAGTTAACTGCATCGGCGCCTTTTCAATGGGCTCGTTCGCCGCGGCCGCCTTCGATGAACTCGCTGCCGGTGCCCTCTTTCGCCGGCGGATCGGGCTCCGCCGCGAGAAAAAGAGAGGAGAGTTAAAGAAAGGAATCTTCTTCCTATAAAGAGACACTTGGCCGGACCGTGGAACGGGTCCGGGCTCGAATAGACGCGGCGACCTGTAATTGGACGATTGGATCCGGAACGGGCACGGTCGACTGACCTATAGAATAACCCGGCAAGGGGTTAATGGAACCGAGACGACGAAACCTATTGAACGGATCGAGATTGCCAACGTGTGCAGCGTGGTCGAGCGACGTCGCGCGGCGTCGCCGTTAATAAACAAAATCCTGGAGCAAGAATGCCGGTCGACGCTTTCTTCGAGCGCGCAGCCTGGTATCAATCATCCGCCGCTGACGGACGAAGGGATCACGGGATCCTTTAATAGGAAGCTCGAAGAGGCATCGCGGGAATGATGCACGACGCGCGACGCGACACAGAGCTCGATCACGTCTAAGTAGATAGGGATGCGAATGGCCAGACAGGACGATAAGTGGAGAAAGGGAGCCGGGCGCGAAGGAAGCGATCAGCAGAGAATGTTGTACGAGTTCCTCGCAGGAGCTGTCTGCCGCAGCGATGCCTTTCATAACTGTCGACCGTGGCAGCGGCTCGGCTCGAATGCAGAGAGATAACGAGTAAATAACAAGATGGGACGGGAAAGGGACAAGGGGTGGGCTACACTTCGGCTTGTCATATTATGAACCGCTAAGATACTACCCATCTCTCTATCTCGTAATGACCGACCCCTCGGCTCAGACAACATCGGGGTCACCATGTTGCTGCCGAGGAAGAATCGCTGAAGCGCTGCTTACGCGTCCCTGCTACCGATGGAGATATGCTAACGAGACATCGGCGACATTTTCCGAGGGAGAGAGAGAGACTCTCCCTCTCTCACTCACTCTCTTTCTCTCTTTCTCTCTCTCACTGTCACTCTCTCTCTCTCTCTCTCTCTCTCTCTCTCTCTCTCTTCCTCACTGTCACTCTCTCTCTCTCACTCTCTCTTTCTATCACGCTCTCTCTCTCTCTCTCTCTCTCTCTCTCTATCGTTCTCTGTAGACTGCAACGTCCTTGCTGGCAAAGAATGTTTCGAGCAACGAGTTTTCCGCGTTTTCTTATTGTTTAATTACATTAACATGGACATCTCACGGCTAGACATCTCTCTCACTCACTCTCTTTCTCTCTTTCTCTCTCTCACTGTCACTCTCTCTCTCTCTCTCTCTCTCTCTCTTCCTCACTGTCACTCTCTTTCTCTCACTCTCTCTTTCTATCACGCTCTCTCTCTCTCTCTCTCTCTCTCTATCGTTCTCTGTAGACTGCAACGTCCTTGCTGGCAAAGAATGTTTCGAGCAACGAGTTTTCCGCGTTTTCTTATTGTTTAATTACATTAACATGGACATCTCACGGCTAGACATCTCTCTCACTCACTCTCTTTCTCTCTTTCTCTCTCTCACTGTCACTCTCTCTCTCTCACTCTCTCTTTCTATCACGCTCTCTCTCTCTCTCTCGTTCTCTCTAGACTGCAACGTCCTTGCTGGCAAAGAATGTTTCGAGCAACGAGTTTTCCGCGTTTTCTTATTGTTTAATTACATTAACATGGACATCTCACGGCTAGACATCTCTCTCACTCACTCTCTTTCTCTCTTTCTCTCTCTCACTGTCACTCTCTCTCTCTCACTCTCTCTTTCTATCACGCTCTCTCTCTCTCTCTCTCTCTCTCTCTCTATCGTTCTCTGTAGACTGCAACGTCCTTGCTGGCAAAGAATGTTTCGAGCAACGAGTTTTCCGCGTTTTCTTATTGTTTAATTACATTAACATGGACATCTCACGGCTAGACATCTCTCTCACTCACTCTCTTTCTCTCTTTCTCTCTCTCACTGTCACTCTCTCTCTCTCTCTCTCTCTCTCTCTTCCTCACTGTCACTCTCTTTCTCTCACTCTCTCTTTCTATCACGCTCTCTCTCTCTCTCTCTCTCTCTCTCCCTCTCTCTCTCTCTCGTTTTCTGCAGACTGCAACGTCCTTCCTGACAAAGAATGTTTCGAGCAACGAGTTTTCCGCGTTTTCTTATTATTTCATCACATTGACATGGACATCTCACGGTTAGACCCAAGACCGGCTGGTTCGTTGTGGGAGAATTAGTTTTACGATCCGTTCGATTTATTTGATAACGCTGGAACAAATTGCGAATCCTTATGCAGATCTTTATATAAAATCAAAATTTTCTACATCATTTGTAGGAAACAGGAGTTAACCCTCGATCTACGGTTAGCGGGTCGTTTTCACCCACTATACTTTTAATCGTTATAGGATAAAACAAATAGTCGTTAGACTAGGAACACCTGAAAGACTAATACAGTGGTGTGAATAATTATAATTATATGTTACATTTTTCGCGATGTTCAAATGAAAATTTATCAAAATAACATATTTGTATATTTCTGTGTTAGAATTAATGGAAAATAGAAATATAAAGTATGATATTTTTAGTGAGTTTTCGTATAGATATCAGTAACAATATAAAAACTACTGTGAGTCTACTTTGTTGGCAAAAAATAACTGTTTTCGCATTATCTAGCAAATTGGTTCTTCTACCATTAAAAAATATGTCGATATATTTGTCCACGACCGCATGTGTACATGAAAGATCATGGCTACCTGAGTAGTGTCCCTTAAACAGTAATTTGACCCGATACTTTCCTCTTTGAACATTAATCACGAAAGAGAAATAAGCTTCCGCATGAATCGAAAGCAACGGCATTTGCCCCGATGCACTCGAACGGTGCTTTAACTGTGAACAACCGAAGGATCTGTTCTAACGGTCATGGTTCGTTGTTTTGTTGCAGACGGAGCCCGGAAAAACCGAGAAACAGTCGACGTCGCTGCGGGAGCAGAAGAAAGAGGGACCTCGCCGCCAGGAGTGTCCTCGAAAGAAATCCGTGGGCGAGAAAAGGGTTGAAGAGGGTGGACGAAGGATCTCGTCGAATCGCGACACGCTCGTCCTCGCCGATCTGTGCAAAGAGGTGGACGAAAAATCGTTTCCCGTTGGGTTGTCGGATCTAGAGCGACGTTATATCACTCACGTTTTCTCCGGACGGAATTAAGGGAACGTAAGAGACGGAACGAAGGAATCAAGCCTGGCGTACAGACGAAGGAGGACGAAGAATAATGGATCGCCGTGGCTCGGCCGCCGTGCGATACAGCATATGAAAGAAATAGGGGGCTAATTTGAAAGTTTCATTCCGTTCGCGGGTATCCGATAATAACGCGGACGATTTCACTCCGTCCGTTGAAATGAATCAGACCAGATGCTCGTTCACGGGTCATTAACCCTTCCGCCGCGTCTGTCGCGGCCGCGCGAAATTATCGCGCGGCGGGGCTGCTTCTTGCGGAGTTAATTGCTTATAAACGATCCGTCGCGCTGAAAGGACTTGCTCGGGTGTCTCGGCCGCGAAACTTTGGAAATGTGTTCGTGGGACGCGAGTGGTTCGGTAGTTGATTGAGCCGTCGCGCCGCGGGGAGGTTTTTTTTAGCGTGGTCGACTAGCGTCATATATTTTTGTTGAGTCGCGATGGGATGTTATCGGTAATTACTAATTACGCTGAAGGGAACACGAACGAGCCGAGGACCCAGACAAAGGTAGAGGGAAAGAGAGAGGGAAGGGACGACAACAACGGTGAAGATGATATTAAGGCAGAGGACTGATTGAAACGAGGGAAATGGCGGTTGTCGGGGTTGTTAGTGAAATGAGTGCGACGCGGTTCAGTGTGTGGTTCGGCGTTGTTCTGTTCGTGGCTGCCAGCCTCGACCAAGCGCAAGTCCCATATACACCGATCTACGTGAGCACGACGAGTGAGTACATGTGAGCCTGATGGCTTATTTACTTGTAGCTGCTTAACCAGTTGTTTCGCACAAATGTTCATCGTGTGCGAAACACATCGCATGCGTAAGAGCAAGTCAAAATCTTTAACACTTTGACTACCATTTCACTCATATATGGGTGACGGAATTATTTGCTCGGATTTGAAAATGATCTTATACGCTAATCTCTTTTAGCTTCTTAATTTGATTACAATCCGATAAACGTGAGAATGTTGGAAACGTAATTCATAACATACAACTTAGCTTCTCAAGTTTAATACGATTAAATAATTTAACTTTGCGACATTTCTGGGGTGATTGGCGTGGCAGTCAAGCTGTTAAAGTGATGTTTCACTCGTATCTCTATACATCTAATATGAGTATTTTACCGATTTTTATTGCGTAGGTACTGGTAGAAAATGGTGCATACGAATACTCAAAAATAATTAGTTATTTTAATGCGTAAGACTGAATTATTTGACGAGATTTAACAGTTGTATTTTCAACATCGCGCGCACGCGACCATTTCAACTTAAATTTCAACTAGAAAATTTTGATTTCGTTATACAGCTTTCATATTTTTCGAAACGGCCACGCGTTTTATGAGACAGTAGAGCTTTACGGAATAGTAGAGTAAAAATGTAAATAATTCACGCCGTGCGAATTACATAGGGAGACAGAATGATACAGGTTTCTGACAAATATTATACGGAATTCGAAACATGAAATATTCATATAAAGTAGTCGTATGTACATTTTTAGGTATTACATATTCCCTCAGAAATGTCCGGAGTGTAAAATAGCTGAAATTACAGGAGAGACTTGCGACGAAACAGATTTTAATGCATCCATACGTGGATTCCGGTTTCGGTCCGTTAGTCTGTGTGGACCGTGTTGTGGTTTATACTAACCTATTGTGTAAATCCGGTGTAGACGTAAAACGGGAGACCTTCAACAAATTCGAAGCGCGCGGAGCTTAATTAAAGCGATACATGCTTTGCATTCACTCGGGCGTGAAACATTTCATGGAAGTTATTCTACTAGTTCATGTCATTTTTCTGCAATACTCACCGTTTACATTGCCTCCGGTGACATGGAACACATTAAATTAGGAAATTCTAGCGTTACGTTGAACTCGACGCGTTGGAAATTTATGTAACTCGGAAAAAATTCGGGGATTTCCGCAAAGCACGAGCCGTTCGTTCGCAACTGGTATCTATCATCTACGTTACCAGGATGCGGGAACATAGGGGAGGGAAAGTTTTTCTCGCCGACAATTTTTTCCCCGATTCGATTAATCTCGGAGCAACGCTGGTATCCGCTTCACTTACAGATACAGCCTTATCGACACGTTACGTTCGATTTACGCATATTCGCCTCCCGCCAGGATAAAATATCGTTTATTTCGTGGAAAACAAAAGAAACATCGAGACAGAATAGCCGTAAAAATCGTGCACTTTATTTCGAATTTCTCGGAACTCTTAATAGGAAAACTTTAATCCGTATTAACTATTACAGTTTTTACAGCGGAAATTATCTCGTGGAAGTAGCTTCTTATTCGGTTTAATCAGAGACTGCGGTCGTTAACTTAGAGAAGATAAAAATAAAGTAGAAATAAAATGAGGTTGCAGTTTCGATAATTGAGAATTAATTACATCCGCTGAAGTAACATGTGCATACTATTTTCGAACGTATCTGGGTCGACCATCTTTGCTCGTCGATGTCAGGTGTCTCGTTCAAAATGAAACACGAAGTAACAGAAACGACATCGTTGAAAGATTGAAATTGAACGAATTTGTTTCTGGTAGCGTACGAAACACCTAAATTTCAAGTAACGTACGTTTCGCTTGTAATTCTTTCGTTTGGAAGCGGTGTCGGGGTGATGTTTTCCCGATGTTGACCTAAAAAACTCGATCGTTTGCAAGCATTTCTTAAATGGTAAAAGGTTTGTACTATTGAAAGCTGCGAGAGTTTATTTAGAGAACGTACGGCTTGAAGCTGAACGAGCTGTGCATTCGTTTTAATATTCTGGGCAACGTTGGCTTGCTGGAATTTTGAGACACGTTGATTCTCCGAATTTCTCAGTAATTAAAAACATTTAATGAAAGCTCTGCGGGCCAAGGTCGATACCGTGAACGTCTTTCTCGCGCAGCCCTCTCGCCGCTTAGAAACTCTTCGACCTCTTTCTGTTATGCGCGAAACGGAGATGCGTTCCTCCGGCGAATTATTAGAACGACTCTCCATTTCTCTGTGGTACTCTTGTTACCCACCGTTAATTAGAAGTACAGTCTGCTACTGACGACAACCAACTGCAAAGGAGAGTCTTCACCAGCACGCCCCCTCTGCGCGCCAGCACTTTGTCGCCTGTCCTGACTCCCCCCTCCCCCTCCCCATCTAGGCGCTACCGCTGCCCTCGCCAGTGATCCGCACTCCGACGCTGTGTTTGTGGCTTGAATTATTCCAGCGAATCTCCACGCGACCCGTGAGTGCCCTTCAAAGGAGCCTGCAGAGTTATATAGACGCCAGAACAATTTATGTCCCCAATGGTCATCTTTGAAACGTCGCACAGGATCGTTGCCAAGTTTTGAGGACACAACGATTACCTTCACGCCTGTGCTATCCTTCGCCTAATTGCCAGGTCTTCATTCGATTCCTAGCGCATTCAATCCTTTCGCATTGCGTAAAAAGTGTATCCGGAATTTGTAAATCGAGCACACAAATTACTTATTTATTCATCAAAATAGATCGCATCCGATGCGATACACGTACGCCAATGTTTCTCCGAGTTTTCAAAACATTTTTCAAATGCTGAAGAAGGTATAACCTTCAACGACTGCGAATTCTCGAATTCTTTTTTCGATCGACTCAAAACGCCTTCCTCGAAGAGATGATTTTTATTCATTATTATTATACTATTTTATTTATATATTATTATATATATTATATTATAATATTATTATATATTATATATTGTTATATTATTATATTATTATATTATTACATTATTATATTATTATATTATTATATTATTATATTATTATATTATTATATTATTATATTATTATATTATTATATTATTATATTATTATATTATTATATTATTATATTATTATATTATTATATTATTATATTATTATATTATTATATTATTATATTATTATATTATTATATTATTATATTATTATATTATTATATTATTATATTATTATATTATTATATTATTATATTATTATATTATTATATTATTATATTATTATATTATTATATTATTATATTATTATATTATTATATTATTATATTATTATATTATTATATTATTATATTATTATATTATTATATTATTATATTATTATATTATTATATTATTATATTATTATATTATTATATTATTATATTATTATATTATTATATTATTATATTATTATATTATTATATTATTATATTATTATATTATTATATTATTATATTATTATATTATTATATTATTATATTATTATATTATTATATTATTATATTATTATATTATTATATTATTATATTATTATATTATTATATTATTATATTATTATATTATTATATTATTATATTATTATATTATTATATTATTATATTATTATATTATTATATTATTATATTATTATATTATTATATTATTATATTATTATATTATTATATTATTATATTATTATATTATTATATTATTATATTATTATATTATTATATTATTATATTATTATACTATTATATTATTATTAAGATATTATTATATATATTATTTTACTTTAATAATTATAATTTCAGTTTTCGATAATGTACGTTGGGTTTTTGGCCATGAATCGTCTTTGCACAAATCTGGTCGCTTTCGGGAAGTGTTTTTATGCAAATGCCTTATTTATTTATTTATTTATTTACGGGTGTGAACCGCCTTGTGGAAAATTAATAAAAAATATATATATCTATGTACAAAATCTATGAATACAAAAAATATATTTATAAAAGTTTATAAATTAAACTAAACTGTTCGTTATAAATAGGCTGCGGCTTTTATGCATTGTTGACAAAAACGAATAGATCAAATGCAAAATAGCAGAAACGTGTATATAAAGATGATAATTTCGTCTGGGTGTACCTAAAGACTCAGGTTACCGGCGGAGGTTAAAATCGTGTTCCGTTCGTTGAAGGGGTAATATGAAAGTACCGCGTACTAAATGTTTCGACTGTCTGACCATCGGCAGACATTGTTTACTTTCTGCATAGATAAAGCGTAGTTGAGTCACAGCGAAATGGACGTTCATTTCTGCAGGTCGAAATCAAAGCGTATGAGTAGATTTATTGTATGAGAAACATTCATTTACCGAACGACTCATAGAATGGAGTTGGAAAATGAGATATTATCGAACAATCGTGTTGAGTATGAGAGGTAGAAAAAATTGATTCTAAATTTTCATTTCATTTTTAAAAGTAGAAGAAAAGGTAGTAATTTTATTGAGTTTTTATTCATTGCATTAGATCGGTATTATTTCAAGAATCTTGACTCCTAGCATCGGAAAGCCTTCTTTATCATAGTGATTAAACAAATTAAATCTTTGATGTTGTTGTCAAGCTAATGAATGGAACTCACGGAATATTATAGGTCTGTAGTGAATTTTATAAATGAGACATGCGGCATAAAAAGTATCCCAAACTTTTTTTGTTTATTATTTCGTTAATTTTTAAATTAAGGAATTGCGAAATTTTTGTTAATTTTTCAGTTTCTTTCTATTGGTAGAATTATGAATCATGAAATATTAAAATGTGATATTAACCCAAAGATGTAAAGAAGATATATGTAATTTAAGATTAGTAAATAATATTATATAAGCACTTAAAAGATTAATGCCAATATTACTTAATTTTATAACACGAATACAGTGTTGTCTCATTCAATGCAACCAATCGATAAATGGGACAAAATGCACTTTTTAGAAAGCTTAAAAATAAAGCAGATAAAC